CTCTGTTACACATTATCTTCATCTTTATTGAGCTTCAAACACTGAACACTGCAACATCTCACTGTACAACTAGAAAGGTGACTTGATAACTTTAATTCACTCTCCACATTAACAATACGTTAGTAGTTATCACTGGTGAAATGCATGCTTGAGTGAAATGGACTTCAGTCTCATTTTCTCATTCTGATCTATTTGATGGCTGTAAGGAAATGAGAAAATGCTAGAAATTTCCTCCAAAGAAAAAATATTTCCAGAGAGTAAGCATGAACAAGCAACCTCGCTAAGTACTTCAGTTATCTAAGTAGGTCAAATAAATATAGGCAAATAAGTTTATATGAAATAAGAAGAGGCCCGCCCCTACCACCTCAGCTGTCTGTCCTGCTGAGGTTGCTAGGACCTGTGCGTGCTCCAAACTGGTGAGCAATCTCGGCAGGCCCAGTGAGTCCTCTGTTCTACGCCATCTCAGCTCTCACGTCTGCTTGGGTCCCTCAGATCCTTGCATGCCCCAGACTGTTGTGCTCCCCCAGCATAACCTGTCAGCCAAACTGCTCACCTAGCATCCACCCAGCCCACCCTGCTGCTCCAGGACCCTGAGGAGTCTGTCCTGTAACCTCAGGTGCAAGAGTTGCACCTACCCCTAGCTGAATGGAGACTGCTCTTACACCCCATTTACACACCAACATAATGTGGCCCCAAGACTGAACACCGCATACCACTCGGCTGGGCTATAGCCTGACAAGGTGGGGAAACAGCAAACAAAGGTACAACGAAGATTAAATCACCTATCGATGTCAAGCAACACCACCACTGACACAAGTCCACATTCTAGATCTCATCGAAAAATATTAGCCACATGAATAGCCAAGATAATACATGTCCCACAGAAATTAACACCACCACTGTAATGTTTCCTGAGAATGGCAACTAACCTGTTGCACAAGACAACAATTTCAAAATAGCAATTGTAAATATGCTCAAGGAATTCAAAGAGGACACGAATAAAAGAACGAATGAAGACCATGAAACAAAACAATCGAATGAAGTAACTAAAACAATTCAATTAGAATTAGAATTCTATAAAGAGATTACATTTCCAAAGAAAACCAAACTGAAATGAAAGAACTCAGGAACTCAAACAAAAAGCAAAGAGGCAAGGCACAAAAAAGTATTGGGGGAAATGGAACAGAATATCAAAACTTGAAGACAAGCTTGGGGAGATGGATTGCATAAGCAATAAAAATGTCCAACTTAAAATAACCCAGGAATGAACACTGTATAAAGATCAAACCCATGAATCATAGGTTTAAAAGGAAAAGAAATCCAAGTCAAAGGCACAGATAATAGTTTTTATAAAATAATAGAAGAAAACTTCCACATCTAAGGAAAGAGATAACTATTAAGGGACAACAGGCATACAGAACACAGTAGACAGGACCAGGAAAGAAACTCCCCACATCATGTAATAGTCAAAACACTGAATGTACACAACAAAGAAAATATATTAAAAGCTATGAAACAGAAAGATGAAGCCACATATAAAGATAGGCCCATCAGAATAGCAGCTAACTTTTCAATAGAGCCTGTGAAAGCCAGAGAGATTGGACTGATTGATGTACTTCGAGTCATGGAAGAACAGAGATGCCAGTCCAGACTACTGTACCCAGCAAAACTATCATTTTGTAATTGAAGGAGAAAGAAAAACCTTCTATGATAAAAACAGATTTAAGAAACTCATGTCCACAAAGCCAGCATTTAATGGGATACTTCAACCTAAAGAGAAGATTAAACATTCTTAAGAGGGCACAAAGAATAAACAAATAATACCAGAACAGTTAGGAAACAGCACTACAACACCAACACAACAGGAATTAATAAACATTGGTCAATAATAACTCCACATATTAATAGTCTGAACTTTCTAGTAAAAAAGATACAGACTAATTGGATTATAAAACAGGATCCATCGATTTGCTGTCTCCAAGAAACATACCTTACCATCCATGATTAACATGTCAGGGTAAAAGGATGGAAAAAGGTACCCTAAGCAAATGGAACTAAGAAATGAGCAGGGATAGCTATTCTGAAAAAATAGCCTTCAAACTAAAACTAGTCAGAAGGTCACTTCACACTCATTAAAGGAAAAATACACCAAGAGCTTATCACCATCCTAAACACAGATGCATCAAATATAGGGGCACCCTATTTCAATACAAGAAACTCTATTAGATCTAAAGTCACACACTGACTCCAAAAACAGTGATAGTGGGTGACGTCAATACATCACTGTCACCAAGAGGTCATCCAGACAAAAGCTAAGTAGAGAAATACTAGAGTTAAATGACCCCATTAATCAAATGGACCTAAGAGACATCTACACAACATTTCATCGGAACACTGAAGAGTACACATTCTCAGTAGCACATGGAACTTTCTCTGAAATAAGAGGGCTGGAAAGAGAACCCATAAGGGAGACCAGCATTTTATTTTCTTTTTATTAAGAATGAAAACCTGAGGCAGGTATGATGGTACACACCATTAATCCCAGCACCTGGGAGGCAGAGGCAGCCAGTCCTCTGTGAGTTTAAGGCTGGCTCAAGGCACTCTGGTCTACAGAGTGACTTCCAGTGAGGGATACACAGTGAGACCCAGTCTCAAAAAAACAAGAAAGAAAAACCTGTATTGTATTCATTTTATGAAGAAAGTAATATAAACATCTTATGAGAAGTAGAGGAAAACTTCACTCAAGACATGCAGATAAAAGCAAATTGTAGTAGATTAAAAGAGAAGACAGTTGTAGATGGAAATAAAATTTTAAAGCACAGATGAATCTTCAAGTTTCCTTATGTCTGGGAGAGACAGGGAGAAGAGAAACGGGGCATTAGCCTGAGTGTTAAAAACTAGAAGATCTTGCTGAAGCCTAGATGGTTATTCAATAGCACATTAACATTGCACAAATGATTTCAGAGCTAAAAGTTCTAAGAGTTACCTGAAAAAAAATTTCTGTCTTTCCAGCTTTGTATACTCTGATGTGTAAGGATCAAAGACTTGTCCCAGGTTAATTTTATCAAAGAAAAAAATAAATGAGTCTCAAAGGGTCGTGGCCGCACCAGTATCTGGGAACGTGTTAGAAATACAAGTTCTGAGGCCTAGATTGTCCTTCTAAGTCAGAAACTCTAAGGGAGGCCCAGCAACCTGTGCTTTAACAAGACCTGGGAACTGTGATTGCCTGCTAATGTTTGCAAACCACATACTCAATTTCACGTCCACAGTGCACAGGCACTTTTATAAATGAGGATAGTAAAGAAAAGAGAACGACAAAGTGAGAAAGTGAGCAGCATTGCTTATTTTGAAAATTAACAACTATCAGTCTGTTACTATAACTGCCCTGGTTGGTTTTTATGTCAACTTGAAACAAGTGTCACTTGGGAAGGCGGGGGGCGGGGTTCTCAACTGAGCCATTTCCCAGCTCAGATCAATCTGTAGGGTATTGTCTTAACTGTTGGTTGATATGAGAGAGCCCAGTGTGGGTGGTGACACCCTTGGACAAGAGGTACTAGGAGGTATAGGAAAGCAGGCTGACCACACCCTTTCCTCCCCAAGTTGCATGTGGTCACTGTGTGTATCACAGGAACAGGAAGGCAAACAATTACCATACATCAAAGTCTTAAATTGAGACCTTCTGTAACTCAGAGTTGCAATTACTGGGACATGGGCTAAATATTCACCTACCTGAATAATATCATATATGCCACATCTTTCAAAACTATTGATCATTCCACAGTAGTTCAAGCATGAAAATTCAATGCCTATGAATAAGAGATTGTTAACATTCATAGAAACTGAAATATCTACCTTGCACATAAATTTTTGCCTGGTGTTTGTCCTTCCCTCTAATGTTCTCAGCCTCACACTCATAGAGGCCTTCATCTTCCAGTTGGATATTGAAGATCTTAAGGACAGCCCCTGAAGTGCTTATCTCAGCAGTGCTAGGCATTGGTTCCAGCACTTTCCGCCACCGGATATCAGGAACAGGACTGTAAACAGAAGATACCAAGGTCCACAATACCATATTTATAGCTAAGCATTTATATCCTTTATTTCTTTTTGATTTATTTCTTATTTTATGTGTATGAGTGTTTTGCCCACATGTGTGTAAATGCACCCATGTTGTTCAATGCCTGTGGAGGGCAGAAGAGGATGGTGGATCCCCTGGAACTGCAGTTATGGCTGATTGTTAGCCACCATGTGTGTGCTGGGATTTGAACCCCGGTCTTCTGCAAGAGCAGCCATTGCCCTTAAATGCTAAGCCATCTCTCTAGCTCCATCCTTTATTTTTCAAGGGGCATAAAACCCAATATGTCCCTGTGTATGTTGATGAAAAAATAGAAGTATACTTACTTTCCAAGTGCAAAACACTCTAAAGTCACATTTTGGCCCATCAATGCATATATGTCCTTGAACTGCACTACAATATCAGCAGGATATGGCTTTGTTGTTCCTAATGTTAAAAAAGAAAACAAAGACATCATAAACTAGTATTCACAATGTTTTTTCTAACATGATTTTTGTAGGATAGAACTACCTCAATATGGAAGACTTTCTCTGTGTAGGAACTGGTCATGTCCCAATGTGTAGACTTGCTTGTTTATACACAACGTGTACAAGTATGAACTCCATCACACATTTTCAATAGTACTGAACATTCTGATAACTGTAACCAACCTGGGTAAATTCACTGCAAAATTTCATGGAGTTATTAAGGGGCTTCAGATACATAGGAACTACTGAGACAGTGCCACTGGGACTTGGAAAGGTAGAAAAATATGGAAGAAATGGGACTGGAGAGAAATGGATGAAAAATGAATGAAAGAAAGAAAGAAAGAAAGAAAGAAAGAAAGAAAGCTTGAGGCTGGAGAGATGGCTAAGAGGGGGGAGGAAGGAAGGAAGGAAGGAAGGAAGGAAGGAAGGAAGGAAGAAAATGTAAATTAAGGAAAGAGATAAAGAAACAAAGAATTATCAAGGCAAGAGAAAACAAGTTAGAAAAGAGAAGGACAATATAAAGAAAAACTTTTATTCTGAGAGCACAGTGCATGCAACACAGATATTTTGTTTTGTGTCATTGTTCAGAATATCAATTCTGAAATATGTGTTATTAGAAAGAGGCTCAGAAAGGCTTAATTAAATGATGATAAAGAGATTAGTAAATACACAATGACAGTACAGGAAGCAAAATGAGACAATCTGAAAGAACACCAAATAAAGGAGCTGGATGCATAGAGGAGGTATGAGAATCTCAGGGAAAAATAGAAACCAAATCAAACCAGATCATGACAAAGCTCTAGGATGGTACAGGAAATTAACTGATGAATGGATAATAAAAGTATGGTTCATTTACACCATGGAATATTATTCTGCTCGTAAGCAAAAAGAAATTATGAAATTCACAGGTATGGATGGAACTAGAAACACTCCTCCTAAGTGAGGTAACCCAGACCCAGAAAGACAAACGTTACATGTTCTCTCTCCTGTGTGGATGCTACTTTTGAATTGGGAAGCTTCATGGGAAGGGAGATAAAATGCAGTGATAAAAGGGGAAAAGGGATAGTGGATAGGAAGGGCCAAAATGGGGTGGGGGATGGAAGGAGAGAAGAGGGCTTATGGAGAGGGTTAACCAACACTAAAGGCCTTTTGTAAGTCGTATGGAAGCCAGCTATGATGGAAGCTTCTTAAAATATATACACTCGCGATATAAAAAGAGTTGAAATGGAGTTACTCTGAAATGAAGAACAATGCCTCTACCAGACACCACAGGCTGGCAAAGGAAAAACTCAGCGCCAGGAATACACTGCCTCTTTTTGAGTTGCTGATCAATGAGATCACATAGACCCTCAAACAACACTAGCTATTGCCGTTGCTCTTGGTTGCCCACCAGAACCTGATCGTAAGACCCTATTGCTGAAGACACTACATACATGAATTGCAAAATGAAGAAGAAATCAAGGTAGTACTGACCTCCAAGCTTCATCTCTACTGGCTAGCTTTCATAATGTTGAAAGGTGCTATGTATGCTACCTGAAGGAAAAAGTAATCACCAGCCTTACTCAGTGAACCATGTAAGCTGCAATGATGACTGGCCTGGTGAGTATGCCCACTGGTACAACAGTGACAGTATGCTATGGGAGTAACTGGACAGTTTCTCATTGGAGTTAAGGCCCCTTCACAAGACGGAGTCCGTACCTGGCACTGTGATTAGGGCCAAGAAAGTGTGACTAGACAGGTCCAGGCCATAGAGGAGAATCTACTACTATTATTCTGCTATTATGCACATTGTATTAAACTGATTCTTGGGTTGGAGCGATGGCTCAACGGTTAAGAGCACTGGCTGCTCTTGCAGAGGACCTGCGTTTGTTCCCAGTACCCACATGGTGGCTAACAACTGTCCGTAACTCCAGTCCCAGGGGATCCAACAGCCTCTCCTGACCTCTGCGGGTATCACACGACATGGGTGAACTTACCTACATGAAGGCAATATACACATACACATAAAATAAAAATAATAAATACTATGGCCTTTAGAATCCAGAATCGGAATCTGTGTTTCACATGTCCCTTGGTTCTTCACGGTGGGTCACATGCTAAATTAACTAGAAGGCACAGCGTTCACCTTTCTGAACAGAGGAGGAAGAGAGGACACAGCAGTGATTGAAGGAATGGAGGAGGCTTTGTGGGAAGGGAATGGGTGTGTTGCTCACACTCTGAATTTAGTGACATCCTTGGGAGTCTTTTGTGGGGTGACTCCACAATATAGGTAGAATTGAAGTCTAAGCACAAGAAAAATTGGGGGGATGTGAATTTAAATTCATTTACACGACTGGTACTGAGAATAGCCAGTAACAACTGGAGAGAGATGCACAGAGGAAAGGTGCCTGGTGATGAATGCTGTATAAAATCTGTCAGAGAATGAGGTGGGAGATGGGCCTTCAGGAAATCAGGAGGGAAAGTAGGTGTGAGGCAGATGAGTCAAGTCAAAGGCCAAATGAATAGGGACTCAGAGCTCTCCTTTGAATAAATATATGTTTTAATGATTATTCAAGATTGTCTACGTTGAACAGGAAAGAATGCACAGAGTGAGGATGAGACTCTGACCATCAGAAAAGAAAGGGAACAGGTGGTAAAGTTGCTGAGTCAATCAGGGCACCTGAAGGAAGCGCCGCTGTAGGGGAAGCCTTCCACCGAGCCAGGAAGTAGGAAGATCTGCGGACGTTGGAGGGGTGGGAGCATTTGCGAGGCAGAGGAGAAAAGATGATGAAAAGAATCTTTCACAATGGCAACTTGGAACTTCCAGAAATAGTGAGATGGAGACTGAGAGGAGTAAAATGAGCCAGAAAGCCACCATATTTCCTGAACACCCACAATGTGACAGACAAGTGAAACGAGAATCCCAGTGGCATTACAACGTTTTCACCTGTACCAGTGAGAGCCATCAAACCGATCAGCTCCGAAGTTAGTCTTTCTTCCGAAGCTTGGAGTTACTACTGTTAATTTAGCAGCAGGACCAGAGCAGAGATAAAGTAAGACAGGCACATGCTGTGGTGTGATAACACAGACGCACATTTTAAAAATGAAGGTGGTTCAGGTGGTGCATGACTCTACCGGGAACAAGGACACAGGGCACGCTCAGTGATTAGCACAGTACTTTATGCTAATGCCTTGAAATAGAAAAGGCAATTATTTACACTTATTTGCACCATGTAAACACTTCCTTAAAATATCAAAATCATCAGATATCATATTTTTTCTAAGGATGTGATCACTATTGTTTGAAGGATGTGATCACTATTGTTTGTTTTGATCTAAATCATCTGGTTTCCTTATAAATTTACTGACAAGGAGCAATTGTCATGAGAACAGGAAGCAGAGGCGGGTGATTCCCGCCATCACTATCCAGGGGCCCTGAACTGACTGATGAGCCAGTCCACCACACACGTTCTAAGCTAGAATAATGTACTTGAACGCAATCATCTTAGGGTAATTTTATTAACTAAATCTCCACTCAAGCTAAGGACCAAGTCTCTTCCCTCTTCCAAATGCATACGTTCTATGCGGCCCTGCCTGGAGAGCCAGCTGTCTCCCCATTGGGAATTTCTCTCATTATTACAAATATTAAATTATTGGCCGGGAATGGTGGCACACACCTTTAGTTCCAGCACTGGGGAGGCAGAGGGCAGCCTAGTCTACATAGTGAGTTCCAGGCCAGCTGGGGCTACAGGAGACCCATTCAAAACAAAACAAAACAAAAACCAAACATTATATTATTGCAAAAACAGTAGAACAAATAAAATACTTACGTTCAGGTATTGGAATAAGTGGGATAAATTTGCTGAATACACTCTTTGTAATCGAAGGACTGGATACAAAACAGGAGTAATTGCCTTTATCCAAAGACTCAACATTTGCAATATAGAGATTGCCATTTGTCTGAGACACAAATCTTCGTTTATCCATTGTGATAAATACAGGAAATTCATTTAGGAGCCAGCGATAGCTAAGATCATCTAGAAGGAAACATCACTTAGTAAATGTTGCTTCCCTGCAAGTGAGGATTCTGATTTTAATAAAAAGCTACTACACTGTCTAATAGAGGTTACAGAAGGCAAACTGTAAGATGAGATGTGGCAAATTTCCCATTATTCACCACATTTTTCATGAAAATAATTATCAGAAGCAATTAAATCTTCATCTATCTATCTATCTATCATCTATCTATAATCTATCATCTATCTATCTATCATCTATCATCTATCTATCATCTATCTATCTATCATCCATCATCTATCTATCATTTATCTATCATCTATCAACTATCTATAACCTAGCTATAATCTATCATCCATCTATGTATTTATGTATCTATGTATCTATCATCTATCAATCTCTCATCTATCTATCTATCTATCTATCATCTGTCATCTATCTGTCTATCATCTATCATCTATCTATCATCTTTCTATCATCTATCACCTATCTATCATCTATCATCTATCTATCTATCATTTATCTATCATCTATCATCATCAGCTGCCACTATTACATTATAAATTCTTAGCATTCTATTTCTGTTTAACTGATGGGTTAACTGAAACTCAGGTTAAAGAGCTTGTTTAGAACTTTTGTGCCTATTAAACAGCTGGGAATCTGAATCCAAGTCTGACCATTACAAAGTGCATGTCTATCTGCCCTACTCCAGTTCATAAATAAACCATGGTGGGTGACTTAATTTAGTGGCTTTATCTTCTTGTGTGTTCTCCTATTTTAAATTATAGATATAAAAATAAATTTACATAACCATATATGAAAAAAGAAAAATGGAATCAGAATGAAAGGCTGCTGGTTTCTTAGAAATGTAGCACATGACTACTCTTTCATTAAAATTTAATTTTATTTTTATTTATGTGCATGTGCATATTTGCATGTGCATGTGGATTTCACTTTTATTTGTGTGTGTGTGTGTGTCTGTGTATGTGTGTATTTGCATGCGCATGATGATGTGGAAGCCTCAGAGGCCAGAAGAGATGCTGGTGTTACAGGCAGCTGTGAGCCACTTGATGTGGGCTCTGGGACCCAAATTCAGGTTCTCTGCAAGAGCAGCAACTGCTCTAAACTGCTAAGCCACCTCTCCAGCCCTCATATAATCACTCTAACCATAGAAATATTCCTAAATATACAAATACTTAGTCAAAAAACTGAATTTTCTGCTAGTTTTCTGGTTGACCTAAAATTTTCTACCTCTGCTTTGAGGACTAGCTTTTCAATAGTCATTCAACAAACCATCAAGATAAAACTATGAACAATGCATATTTCTCAGTTTCACAAATGATTTACTCTAGACTCCCTTGGCTTTGTGATACAACTGCTACTAGAAAGAGTATAATTGGAAACCTCTCTAGATCAGGTCAAACAGAATTATAGATGTTAAATGGCAGAAAATCAGGAGCTTACACCATCCAGCTTGTTTCAAGGATAAAAGCATCACAACAAACCACCATTTTGCACAGGGAACTGAAGAGGGGTGCATGACTGAAATGGTCCCTGACTAGGAAAGAAGAGGCACACGGACCATAGAATGCTCTGAAGGGATGGGTGGAGCATTCCGGCATCGTATCAAGATTAGCTATGCAATTTTCTCCAGCATAATGCAGCATCAGGAAATTCAGACAAGGTGACCAAAATAGTTTTGTTGCACATTTTTTTTTATGGAAGCACATCCAATGATTGGAAAAACCAAAGATTTGGGGGATTTTTAACTTAAAAAATATTTATTTATTTTTATTTATATTTTTATATTTTTGTTGAGCTTTTGTGCATTTCATACAATTCTTAATCAAATTTAGATCCCTCCCCCATGCACGCCTTCCCCCACCAAACTTCATGAATTCTGTCATACATGTTAAGTCCTATTCAATCAAGCATTTGTACCCAGATGTCCTTTGGTGCAAATTCATCCCCTGGAGTCTAGTCAGCCTATCTAGAGTCACTCCCTTAAAGAAGGTCAACTCTCCCTCCCTCGGTAGTAATCAGTGCCCATAGTTCTTTGACTAAGGTTGGGGCCTGCTGCACATTCCCCAGTTCTATGCTGTGTTTTGGTCTGACTCAGGTTGCAAGGGTCTTGTGCATGCTGTCATCATTGTTGTAAGTTCATATGAGCAAGTTCCCAGAGCTCTTTATGATCATGCACCCCCCTGGCTTTTACAATCATTCTATCTCCTCTTCCACAATGAGCTATGGGTGGGGGAGATTTAATAGAGGAATCCTATCCAGTGACACACACTCTGCAGTTTCTTTGACCACTTACATTCTATTTCATGATGAAGCTTTGCTGGTGAAAGTTGAGAGATGCATTAGTATTCTCTCTACCCCTGTTCTCCTATGTTTCATGAGCTTTAAGTATAGATATTCCATTGTGGATGTGCCATTTAAGGCTGGGCATCTCTCAGACACATATTCTCTGTATGTGAACAGTTGTGGAACTCTATAATAGTCTCCATCTGTTGAAAAAAAGTTTCTCTGGTGAATGGTCAATGGTATAATTTTCTCTAAATATAAGAATCCATATTTAGCATACAGTAAGAAATTACTTTTGTCTAGAGATATGACAGAGGTAGGGCTTTCTCTAGGATCTATGCCCTTCCCAGCCATGTGTATTTGACTATGTTTAGAGTGTCCCCATGACTTCCCTCCCATTAAGAGGGTTTAAGTGCAATTTGAGAGCTGTTAATTACCCCCAAGATAAAAATGCCACTACTGAGCCACTATAGTTTGTTTTGCTGGTCATTGTTGTGACTGTTAAGCCTTAAAGCTGGGATTGGTCCATTCATTGGTTTTCTCCCTTAGCAGCTTGCATAATGTCATCTAGAACTATGAAAGCTAGTCTTCAAGGAGGAGGCTTTCAGTTTAGTTCCAGCTCCATTGCTCCAAGCCCTGTGTTAAAGTATGTCTTGTATTTAACAAAAGGGTCTTACCTTCAAGTCCTGGGAGGTAAAGGGCTGTGGCAATAGCCTGTGTCATTTTGGGAGTTTCTTGGACTACCCTGACCAACAGCTTGAAGTGAAGTTTCTCCTGTGTAATACTGTATTTTTCATCTATAGCCTCCAGCTATACATTTGCACTCCTGTTCAGATATTGCGTGTGTCTTTTTCAGTAGATTTTTGAGCTAATATGTGTGTTTTTCACACAAACTAAGCTTTATGTATCTCTTCCCTCTTTCTTTCTCTAACCTCCCTCCTCCTTCCCTAAAGTATCCCCATTGTCCCCATTTCCCTTTATCTATTGCACATTTTTTTTTTATGGAAGCACATCCAATGATTGGAAAAACCAAAGATTTGGGGGATTTTTAACTTAAAAAATATTTATTTATTTTTATTTATATTTTTATATTTTTGTTGAGCTTTTGTGCATTTCATACAATTCTTAATCAAATTTAGATCCCTCCCCCATGCACGCCTTCCCCCACCAAACTTCATGAATTCTGTCATACATGTTAAGTCCTATTCAATCAAGCATTTGTACCCAGATGTCCTTTGGTGCAAATTCATCCCCTGGAGTCTAGTCAGCCTATCTAGAGATGTTAAGGAAGGTCTACTCTCCCTCACCCAGCAGTTCCCAGGCTAGAGCTGGCATGCCACCCATTTCCCTCACTCCACTCTGAGCCCTTGTCTGATTGGGTCTGCATGGGTCTTGTGCTCAGTGTGCTGCAAGTTCACATGAGCAAGCTTCCAGTGGCCTGGAAGCCTCTGTTTCCCTTTGTTCATGGACCAAATCTGGCTCTTACAATCTTTCTGCCCCTCTTCCACAATGATCCCTGAGCCGTGGGTAGGTGAGGTTTAATACAGGAGTCCTATCCAAGGACACATGCTGTGTAGTCTGTTATTCTCTGAAACTTAGTCAGCTGTGGCCTTCTGTGTGCATCACACTGTGCTGCCTAAGGAAGCTTCGCTAGTGAGAGTTGAGGGATGCACTAGTGTTCCCTCCACCCGCTGTTATACTATGTTCCATGAGCTTTACATGTAGAATTTCCACTGTAGATATGTCACCTAGGGTGGGCATCTCTCAGATGTATATTCTCTTTGTGTGACCAGTGTGGAACTCTGCAGTAACCTCCATCACGATCATAGGAAGGTCAGTCTCAAAGTTTTTTTAAAAAAGGAAAGAAAAACTGGGGTCTACCATACTGAGACTCTAACTCAACTGTCATGTCTAAACATTTATATGTACTGCTGGAATTATTTTAACTTGTTGCTTTAGGCTGATTTTGACAGAATTAAGTGGTATGTTCTACTGACATCGGATCATAGAACAATTAGGGTAAGAAATTCAGGGAGCTTTTTAAATTCCTGAGATGATACCCTGTCTGGTGTCAGGTCACACCAGAACAAACGTATGTTTGCAGTAGATTTTCCAGAAGACCTCTATTTTGTCTTATTTCAAAATGATATTTTCTACTCTCAAATGTCGTTGAAATGAAAATCAACATTTTAAAGACTTGTGATAATGATTAGTTTCACCAAAAAAGAAAATGAATGTCAATAAAATATGTGTATTTTCTTATATGAAAGGAATTTTTAAAATCATACAACAAATTAAACATATCACAAATTAAGTGTATTTAGAATTATGTGGTTGTGTAAATATAGAAACTCAAATTTTCATCTCAAGTATTGCTTTTATTAGTCTATTTAGTCAGAAAAGATGTGTAAGGAAGTTTATTTAGTCAGAAGAGATGTGTAAGGAAGAAGTTGTGATATTTTAAGGGACCTTTTGAACTTTTAAGGGAAGGTAGTCAGTCAATGAAGCCATTATGATGTTTGTATAAACTTGTCTTCAACTATAAGCAATTAGTCTAACTCATTAAATGCAGATTCTCTGATTTACTATATTTTGCACAAACTGAGTTACTCCAATGTGCCATTAAACAAGACAGATGCAGTCTTTGCCCTTGTGAGAACTGTGGGCTGTTAATTTAAATTTATCTAGCAAAGTTTAGCCTACAATGACGCATTCACCTAGAATAAGGACTACAGCACCCTGCCTCTCTGGCTTCAGGATGGGACAGTTCTGACTAGGCACTACCCCTTAACCCATTTCTCCCAAGCACATGACACATTATCTTTACTTCATGTGTTGATAGTGACTTGGTTGGCTTCATGCAGTTGGTAAAATGAATCATCTTTGGAAATATCATAGTCTGTTTTTCTCCTAGTACTGAAGACAGGATTAAATAATAAATTGAATTAATTTTTCAGGAAGAGTATGTGCCAGCACATGTTTAAGGAATGTTGTTTTATTGATTCTTTGCCTTGCCCCAGGAGAGTCTGGATCACAGACAGGGAACATCTATGCTAGCCTAGAGCAGCACATTTGCCATTTCATTATGTTAGTCTGAACTCTGTCACTTAGCCAGCCTTGCAGAGCAGTGTAGCTTTCCCCTGGACATACACCGAAGCACTTCCGTGTGCCCAAGAGCAATAATCTGCAAACTTTTGATATTTTCATGTCTTTCCAAACATTACCATGATGGAATTTATCTTACAGATCAAACCTGCACAGCTGCTGCTGGGCGCTTCGATGTAGCGTGCTAGTTTGGAGAGACACTAACCTTGCTGTCCACACTGCGCACCCCACTAACTTTCGTACTGTCTCTATTTCTGTTCTAACCTTTCATCTACTGAGATTCGCCCAGGATCATGTTCAGCATGCCAGGAGTTATTTCTGTTAGGAGTAAACCCTCTTTCAATTTTAAATTTATGCATGTTTCAATTACTAGGTGATTTATAGTTTAATAGCACCCACCCTTCAGATGGTGGAGATTCTATTTCTCCATTCTCTCTCGATATACAAACACAGCTTATAGTTTGTGAGATGTAATAAGTTAATTTTATGGCTATATTGACAAAAATGTTCAGGAGTGCAAGACTTTTAAAAGTCATGAGTACTTATGGGTTATTTGTTGATATATAATAAAATAAAATTTAACCAAGTTTATCTGTCCATGAAGTATAACTCCTACATGCAATCAATTTTATTTGATTTTTCCACCCCTTACCTTCCTCATTCCTATTTGCTGTAAAATGAAGCCTTGTGACAACTCTTCATAAATAAGTAGCCTAGCTCAGATCAGAGACTTTCCCTTTAGGAACACTGTAAAGTACCCAAATCCAGAGAATATTAACTATGAAAGATGGAGGGAGGGAGGGAGGGAGAGAGAGAGAGAGAGAGAGAGAGAGAGATATGAAGAAGGGAGGGAGGGAGAGAGAGAGAGAGAGAGAGAGAGAGAGAGAGAGAGAGAGAGAGAGAGAGAGAGAGAGAGAGAGAGAGACTGTGAACCAGGGACCAGGGGCTGGAAAGATGGCTCTGTGGTTAAGGGCACTGGCTGCTCATGCACATGACCCAGGTTCAGTTCCTAGCATCCACATGGTGACTAACAACCATCCATAATTCCAGTTCCAGGGGATCTGACGTCCTCTCCTGGCCTCCATGGGCATAGCACACATGGATGTACTTACATACACGCAGGCAAACACTCACATACATAAAATAAAGTAAATAACTTTTTTGTTAGCCAAAAACATCACAAATTTGTCTATTTACTTAATGGTAAAGACTTTTTTTTTTGTCTTTGTAAGACAGGGTCTTCTTGTAGCCCCAGCTATCCTGAAACTCACTAAGTAGACCAGGCTGGTCTTGAACTCACAGAGATCCGCCTGCCTCTGCCTCCCAAGTGCTGGGACTACAGGCATGTGCCACCATGCCCCGCAAGCCTTTGTTTTTATGTCATCTAAAACAGCTGACTGTCTTTAGACAATTTTTATAACAATGAGATGAATCAAAAACAAAACAAGTCACCCCAAAGCATGTAGCTGATCTTATTGAATAGAACAGAGGCTGAGAAGCTACAGCCCTGGGCCAAGTCCAGAGGCCTACCTGTCTTTTCTTTTTTAATTTTAATTTATTCTTTGAAAACTTCACAGGTATATAAAATGTATCTTGATAGTATCCTCCCATCCCTTCCCCCTTCCTTCTCCCCCCAGCACCTCACCATCACATCTGCCTCCCAACTTCTTGCTTTCTTTTATAACTTACTTCTTTATTTAACCACCAAGTCCAATACAGACTGCCCATACGTGCATGGTCATGGAGTTGGCCAGTGTCATGGGGAGCCTACCAGTGGCCACACTTCTGAAGAAAAGTGCCTCTCCCTTCCCCAGCAGCCATCAACTGCCAATAGCTCCTCAGTTTGGCTGAGGCCTTGAGTGCACTTCTGTGCTCCGTGCTGGAATTTTAACTGGTTTGATCTTGCACAGGTGACCACAGCTGCTGTGGGTTATGTGCAATAGCCATGTCATGTCCGGAGGACAGCACTTCACAGCTGTGCCCCCATCCAACTCTTATAACCTTTCCTCCCTTCTTCTACACTACCTTTCCTGAACCTTGGGGGTGGGGTTTTAAAAATTAAAAAAAAAAACCTGTGAATCAAAACGTTTTAGTGCAGTAAGATGTGCTATATAATAAAAATGGGTCCCAATAGGTTGGTTATAGTTAGATATATTTTATTTATTTTAACAATAATCTGCTGAAATTGCATATCCATATCACCATCTTCAAAGCACTATTAAATATGAACCTGATAAGAAGGTCTATGAAGAAGATAGTATCAAAGATAATCTATTATCCATACATTTTAAATGAGGAAATTATTCATATGACATAATGAAGACCCATTCTCCAATCACCACTAGAGGAATACAGTTTGAAATTAGAAAATAGTTGCATAAATAACATTAGCAGAGCTTTAGAGCCCTACAGCAGATTCCTTTTCACCCTAATCGAATGAAGTTCTAACCTACAAAGCACAAAACATTAACGGCATCAAATAGGAAGGAAGATTTATGGCACAGAATTGATACATATTGGTAGGAGACATAAAATGTTCAAAAACACCATGGAGCTGCTACTTATAAGCTGACAGAAATGAATTTTGCAGATTTTATTCTGTTAATGATATTTCCTAGTCTCATTTAATGCCACTTTAGCCTTAATTTTCAGTTTATCCATGTAAGCATCTTTTTAAAAATATTTTATTTTTATTTTATGTGTATGAGTGTGTTGCCTGCATGTATGTAGTGCACCCGTGTCATGCAATGCCATGGAGGTCAGAAGAGGGCTTTGGATTCCCCTGGAACTGGAGTTAAGAATGGCTGGAGAGCTGGTGCAGCTATTAAAGGCTCAGGCTCACAACCAAAAAGACATGTAAGCATCGTTATCTTTATTAGGTTCAAGAGGTAACTGATTTTCTTAGCTGAATCATTTTAACCTTCTATCAACCTTGTTTTGGTCCATGAAAATCTTCATTCAACATAGTAATTAAAATGTCGTAGAAAAAAATCAAGGCATATCTTCCATACACCTAAGGCTATTCCTTGGAAGCACTCCCCCCCATCTATATAAAGTTCTAGGCAGTCACGCAAATCCCCATAACTTCAAAAGCAGCTTATATAATGATAAATCATAAATTGATAATCCTAGCTCAGAAGTCTCTTGTGAGCTCCTCACCCCTGTAGAGCCTCCAGATTCTTCTCAAATTGGAAATTTAATAAACACATCATGTTTAATCCTGTTTGTGGGGAATTCTGTGACCATGAGAAGGCTTTTACTCATGGCTTCAAGGGTTCCTCAGGGAAAAGCCTGTTCTCTCATTCGGAAGCATGTACAGCACTTTTGTATCCTCCTATGTTTACTGACTAATAATCTTTCTAGTATTACAGGGAAAGTTATCAATGTTTTATAAACAAGAACTACATACAGTAAAAGTTTCATAAATGCATATTAAATTTTACATATGCGAAACTTTACATGTACTATATGTATAATTTTGCTCAAAATACATATATGTATATGTACACACATACACATAAAGTCTATGCATTCATTCCATACAAAATTACTTATAACAATATGTTCTGTTTCATTCTCTATGTGTAACAAAATCATATTTATTATTTAAAGACTGTAAAACATTGCCTTCATTTAAGGGGAGATTTCATAAATAAAATGAAAATAGCATAAGAAGCATGTACTATAGTGGCCTTCCTTCATTTTAGCAATATCAAATAAAAACAGATACACATTCTCAGTTGGATTTTATAGCAGATGATACTAATTTTGTCCCTTTTCTAAAGTGAGTGATTATTCTTACCCATCAGTATAAGATGGACATTGATAGTTTATCATGCCTTTATCAATTTCTAGTGTTTAGTTACAGCTCACAGTATATTACATATATTAAGAAAATGATTGATTATACATCATTCATTAGTGTTGTGCTATTTCAAAAAAACCTAACAATTTTTGGAAAAAGAATATCATAATTTCTTTTAGTAACAGGTGCTCTAGTGAGGGCACAGTTCAACATCTATATTGTTCATAAACTGAAATGACTAGAAATCTTTGGGATTAGGACCAAACGACTAAGGAACCAAGAAAGGAAGTGTCTAGAACCACTTTTAAGTGACGTATAATGCTGTTGTCCTCTTGACATGACAGGGTCACTGTTGTCCTGAAGTCTCAACTGCTGTGCTTACCTGAATGAGCTCTATGCAAGGCTGGGTACATTAATGCTATAACTTCTCACCTCTGCTCCTATAATTAACCATAGCTAAACTCACTGGTTCACTGAGCTAATCTTAGGTAGAGTCATTTCTTTGGTCAGTCAATGGCATCCTTGTGGCAAGTTGATGTTTGCTTTTCTCCCCAGGAAATGACCACAAGTACAAATGCAAAGTCTCAATTAATGATGATCCATGATTACTAGACTAATTAGGTCATGACAGTGTTCCTTCATTCTAGAAAATTCAAACTTGCCCATTTCATTTCCTAGATGCTTATAGTCAGAGAAGCTCATTTTACCTGGGAAGTGATAGGGCGGGTCACAGAGAAGCACCATGCCCTTTCCTTCCTTGACTCTCACCTCAGGTCGCTCCTCAGGTGGGAAAGGGTCGAGATCTAATTAGAAGAGGAGAAAGGAAAACATTCATGCCCTGGTTGCAGAAAGATAACTGCTGTTGTTACTTTTTAGTTAACAGAAAGAGATAACTGTTATTGCTACTTTTTAGTAACTTTTTAAATAATTTTTATTAGCATTTCTTCCTTAAAAAACAGCATGATTCCATTAAAACACTTCCTATGGGTTGGAGAATTTGGAAAGGGAACGAGTGGCCAATGCACACGATAGCAACAGTGACAAATTGCACATTATTTTTGAAGTTTGGCAGTACAATTTGCTAGTAAATAATATTCAGAATTATAGTAGACATACAGAATTGTGAATTTACATTCTAAAATTCAATGTTTATGTTTAGTTTGAGAGTTGTATCAGTTTAGTTATTACACTACTTTTTTGGAACTTCCCGGGACTGTGATTATTTTTGTTTGGTCTTTTTGGGACAGGGTTTCCCTGTAGCCCAAGCTGTCCTGGAACTCACTATGTAGACCAGGCTGCCCTTGAATTCACAGAGATCCGCCTGCCTCTGCCTCCCGAGTGCTGGTGTGCAGGAGCACACCGGGCCGACTGTGATTTTTATCTCTAGAAGATCAATTAGGTGTTTTACATTTTCAGTAGGGCACAGGTGAAGGCACACTGGGGCTGTAGAAGAGCAATAGAAAAATAATGGGAAAAACCTCTTGGTGCCTGGGCATGAGAGAGGTAGAACTTTGACTCATGGTTTGGGGACCACAGCTTGAGAGAGGGTTGCAAGGCCCGCTCAGCTGCTTCTGGGACACCTGTGGACATCAACTTGTTTTTCTGTGCTGGGACCTGTACTGTACACTCCATCCAGGACTTCTGCCATGGACTCAAAGCTTGCAAGTGTTGGCGGCAGCCTGAAGGTTCCAAATAAGCTAAAAATCTTCCTTTCAGGTTAGGGAGGCTCTTAGTTCTATAATGGGATCAGAAAAAATCAGAGATCTTCCAAAGACCGTAAGAAAGGGGGATGGGTATACACCCCTTTCTACTGGAGGACTGAAACACAGGTGTAGAGCAGAAAGCAGGACCCCAGTTGAATAACAGGAAAGTGAGGAGTCATTTGCTCCTTTTAAATTTTGCTTTATCTCATTTCTAAAAGCCTCTCTTCTGTGTGTCGAAAACGCATAGTTCGCTGGGCTACTTGGGTTCTACTTTTATGCTGCTGATACTCATTCTGGTTCATTTCTGCTTCTCTCCCTCTTCTTTTTCTGTGATCCACAGCAAATTATAACAGTTACCTTTTACTCCCACAATCTGCTGTCTGCCTCTGAAAAGTCACGCATTCCCGTTGTCAGCTTTTCACGGAGGACCCTGTACACCCACGCCTCAGTCCTGATGTGCTGCCGACACCTGGATGCCCTCCCCAGCCTCGGCTGCTCATCTGACAATGATCACACTGAGGCAGCTTCTGTGACTCTGCTAGTGAAGCAGCCGTTTAAAATGCTCTCTCTAATCTCGGGCTTGCTTTCCTCGCTCCTCTTTGTAATGACTGCAGAACTGTCCTGTCCTTTGACTCGCCTTTCCATGAAAAGATACTTGGGTTTTCTTTCCTTCGATGAAGTACAATGTCCTGTTCATTCTTCTTTCAAGATCGATGTGTATTATTTGCAACTCCCTTGCAGCATCCTCCTTAATCTCTGTTTTTCTGGACCAGTCTTGCACCTTCAGTTGATTGCTAGCATTTCTCAAAACACCATTTTCATCCTAATCAGTATCCAGCAAAGCTATAAAATGTGGCATAATATTGCAAAGTGGGGATGAATCACCTCATCCGTCTCATCTCTCAACACAGAGCTTCTTTTATAAGGACTGTGCTGGACAGCCCCAGTTGTCAGCTTGGCCATCTGGGAAGAGGGCCGCTCCACTGAGGAATTCCCTCCACTGAGGACATATCTGTAGGACGTTTCCTTGATTGTTGGGGGACGTGGGAGGGCTCAGTCCAATGTGCGTGGTGCCACCCTTGGGTGGCTCTGTGTTGTATAAGAAGGGGGCTGAGCACAGCCCAGGAAGGAGAGTAAGCCAGTAGCAGCGCTCTTCCATGGTGGTTTCCAGCTCTTGCCTCCAGGTTCCTGCCTTGAGTTCCTGCCCTGACTTCCCTCAGTGATGAGCTGTGACCTGGGAGATGTGAGATAAAGCAAACCATTTCTTCCCCAAGTTGGTTTTGGTCAGTGTTTTTATCATAGTAGTAGAAAGTAACTAAGACAATCAGCTTTAACTTTTATTTGAGCATAGTATTTATTAAATACTTTTCCATTATTGACTCCCATAAGGAAAATTTCTTCATTCATTTTTAAGTAATTAACTAAAACTTAATTTATTTCAAATAAGAGAAGTTAAATGTTGAAGAACTGGGTATTTTCAGGTGTGGGAGACCTTTGGGGAGCCACACCGCACTCTGTATATACCGGCTGTTTTCTCATAACGAACTCTCGCCTGTGGGATCCTTCATTGAGGACTTGTGGGGTGTCACTTCATAGTTTGCAGTCATTCAAGATCTTCAGAACGTAGCCCCCATTTCTTTTTCACATTAATTTTCATCATTTAAGGGCACTGTAATACCCTGCACGACACTGCTCGCCATGCCCACTCCTCTGAAAGATGGTAATGCCCTGCGTGAGCTGCTCACAACACTGTGCCTGCTCCTCTGGAAGATGACCTACTTCCATGATGCCGTCCTGCCTCTACCCCTACCCTGTCTTCTGTCTTTTCCTTCTTGCTGAATTCTTAGGCTTGTTCTTATGGAAACATGTCTTGAAGGTCACATAGCACTCACAGAAGTCCCGGATTTTAATTGAAAACTTTCAGAAGGGCATTACTCGTTTTACCACTGACAGCCCTGCACCTGCATGTGAGCAGAGGGCGAGCCTTCCTTAACAAACCGCATGCTAAGTGTTCAGTACTTCTGTCGGAGGGATGAGGCCGGAGAGTCCATTTTAGCAGGAAGTATTTATTAAATTTTATTTATGTATGTGTGCTTATACCACATGTGTGCAGGTGTCTATGAAGGCCAGAAAACAGCACTAGATACCCTGAAGCTGGAGCTAAATTGAGTCTGACACGGGTGCTGGGAAATGAACTTGGGTCCGCTGTCAGAGCGGTGGGTACTCTTCGCTGTCAAGTCATCTCTCCAGCAACAGGGAGAAAGTGGTTTTAATGGAAGAAAAATGCTGAGCATCCCAGAATGGAGCCTCCAGTTCATGCAGACTATTGTCAATAGTTAAAACATGTGCAATTTCCCTTTACCCAAATAAACCGACCCCTTTGAAAAGCCGCGATTACTTACATCCAAAACTGAGGATTGCTTCAGTGCTTCTGACCATCCCATAGTTATTTGAGGCCAAGCAGTAGTATATTCCAGCATCTTTCTGTTTGTCGGGGTTGTTGATCACAAGGTTTCCTCCCACCATACTGTACCGATCATTTGTTAGGTCAACATCCCCATTATTCATTCTCCATCTTGAGAAAAAGATATCAATATCATGCCAAAGTCATGAGGCCTGGACATTTACCAGGCTAATGTCTTTCTGAAATAATCTGCATACAGAGCTGTGTGAGGTGAGATGGTGCTATGTACTTGGTGATATTTCTTAATAACCACGAGTTCTAAGTGTTTGGAAGCATGATTAACGATTCAGCTAAGATAAAGAAAATCTAATATTAGACTCCCTGATGTAATGCCTCATCCTTGACGAAGCATCCTAAAAGACAAAGACTTTTTTTGAGTTTTATGCCATAAATTGATTTCTTAGTTATTATATACAGATATATTGATAACTATTTCTAGATAGTTTTATACATATCTAGATAGGTTGCAAAAATATTCAAAAGCATTACCCTAGCAGAATTAAAATACAAACTATCAATACCTGATTCTAAATTGCAAAGCAATTTTCAAAACTAATGAAGTCCAGGGGTCTGCTCAGTAATGGGCAGATTCTGACCACTAGAGGGCGATCACACAGTTTAAAAGGATTTCCTTGGATCTGAATTCCAAGCAGCAGGTAAATTTGTAAAGCCAGATCGCTTCAGTAGTCAGTGGTGCCTTTTCACATTATCTAGGGATGGCTTTCAATGCAGGCATTCCCCCCACCTACATGCAAAGGTGTCCGTGAGAAACCTCGTGGCTCGTGAGCCCACTAGCTGATGGAGATTGTAGTATAGATAGACAACCAACAGTCTTACTTCCTTGGTGAGCTGGTAAAAAGAATGCATGTAGAAAACAGTTTTCATTTCAGATGAAAACCTGCATAACTTTACACCATCCCCTGACGGGGTTCATCCCTTAGAGCGATGTGTCGAGGAGTTCTGGCTAGGCAGTTCAGGGGGTAGCCTGTGGGTACTCTTTGGATGCCAAGCACATTTCTGATTTGGGTAGGAGAAGGCCAAAAATGCCTATGGACTTTAGAATGTCTTATAAATCAAGGACACTAGAACATCATCCAGTTATAATCTTTACAGTTTTGGGGTTAATTTTTCAAACAAGCATAGAACACTCTGCCTGCTTTACCTTCCCCAGGCAGAGGGCAATAATGTCCCACCAGAATCGCTCAGTGCAAGTTGTTTAGCGTAACCAAGGCACAGGTCTCCTAGTCAGGAAACTCCAATTGTTGAGATCTTCACCTATTTTTTTTGACTCCAAATTTTGGTTTGTTGCTTTAACTGCCTATGGGTCTGATTGTTTGGGTAAATTTACTAGTCTATTTGCAGAAATATACATTATTATTGGAATTTGTTTGAGTGTTTTTAAATATAGCTGTTATTGTAGTCCTTGCTCCTTGAGGGTGAAAACGGTATGCTGGATGCTTTAGTGTCAACCTGACACACCTGGGTAGAGGGAGCCTCAATTGGGGAATCTCCTCCATTGGCCTGGCCTGTGGCATCTTCTTGATTGTTGTGTGATGTGGGAGGGCCCAGCCCACTGTGGTGGTGCCACCCCTGGGCAGGTGGGTATGTGTTGTATAAGAAAGCAGGCTGAGCCAGGGGAGCAAGCCAGTAAGCCGCGTTCCTCCATGGCCTATGCTCCAGTTCCTTCCTCTAGGTTCCTGCCTTGAGTTCCTGGGGCTCCCTGATGAACTGTGACCTAGGAGATGTAAGACAAATAAACCCTTTCCTCCCCAAGTTGGCATTGGTCAGAGTGTTTCATCATAGCAAATGAAAGCAAACTTAGAACAGCCATGTGTCAAGGCTGATATGTGGCAGGCAAATTTCCTTGCTGGAATTATCACTTCTCAGCATGTTGCCGTGAAATACACATCATAGAACATGCTACAAATGTAAAACTTCTGTCTGACTGACAAACCGCATGATTTCCAACAGTAGTATGGCTTGCTCTATAATTAAGTTTTAAAGACTTTCCTATCACCAAGCATGCTGTATCACAAACTAATTCATTCCCTTTTCCTCCCCTCCCCCTTCTTCCCCTCCCCTCATCTCCTCCTCCTGTCTCTCTTCAGCTGTTCATTTATTTATTTTGCTATTAGACTCAGGATGTCTTCCTATCAAGAATGGACATCTTTCTGCAGCTCTCTACATTCACATAAGGGATAGTTGGGCCAGCTCAAGCTGGGGGTTTCAGTTTGAGTGCAGCCTGTGGGAGGCAGTTGGTGACGTATTTGCCATGGAAGGCTTCCTTCAGGAGGGGGCAGTAGAAAGCATAGCCCTGTGCATGCAGGGTCTCTAGAAATACCATTTGAGAAGAGCTGGTGTTGTCTCGGAGGCTGACGGTAAGGATAGTGCTAATGATATGCATCACTGAAGCAGCTTTGAGATTCGGCCTCTCTGGATACTGAAGGTTCAAGGCTTCTCTAGAAACTGTCGCGCCTGTTACAGGTACAGTGTCTGCTTAACTGACACAATCAAGACAATCCCCTTAGTGTTCAACATTCTCCTGTGAAATCGTCTGCGGTCGAAGCCCTTCCACAGCCAGTCCCTGGTGCTAGTCTAGGTCGGTGACTGTGGACAGAGGGTCCCATTGTAGTGGGTATAGCCACAAAACAATTTTAGACCAAATATGTTATTCATAACTTGCACTATGCTCCCATGCATGAAATTGAAGGAATAAAAATAATTTCAAAAGGCGGTTACCTAATGGAATGCACCTAATTTCGAATTTTACCTTAAGAATAATTTTGTGGTTCTAGCCAGAGGCTAGAGAAAAGGCACACAATTAGAATTAAGAGGTAGGAAGGGAATATTTTCCCTGGAATAATTTTTATAACAATGGAAAATTTTTTTAAATACACTAATGGAAAGCCTACTATTGAAATCAGCCTTGTTTACAGACAACCTTCAGTTAAATCAGGTGACAGTAATCCACTGAAGTCCCGATTTCCAATCACTTGTTTTCCCTTCATGGGATCATTTTGCAAGTGAAATTAAAATTAATTGGCATTTAGTTAGCTATTATCTTATTCTTTACATCAGATTCAACTGTTAGTACAATTTTATAAACCACCCCATTTGTAGCAGGAAAACCTATTTTTACTTTCAATAAACTTATTCTGATAACACAGATATGTAACCCAGAAAAGTAGAGATATGTTTGCATTGTTAATAGGTGGAGATATTTAAAAACTTTTTAAAATTTTATTATTTTTATTTTATGTGTATGAATGTATTGCCTGGATGTATGTGAGTGCACCCATGTTGTGCAATGTCGTGGAGGTCAGAAGAGGGCATCAGATTCCATGGAACTGGAGTTAAGGACAGTTCGTAGCCACCATGTGGGTGCTGGGACTTGAACCCAGGTCCTCTGCAAGAGCAGTCAGTGCTCTTAACCACTGAGCCATCTCTCCAGCCCCTTAAAAACTTTTTGCATTGTCTGGGATATAGATTTGAGATCACTGAGAAAAGGTACCTTCTGGAAATGCTAGGCAAACTTTTAAATGTAGTTAATACAGACATTATGAACTATTCAGGACAATGCATGCCAAAATAATTTTATCTCAAATGTATATATGCAAGATATATGTGATTTTACTATAAATTTTTACTTGTTCCAAAGCATCAGCTGCATTAGATAATATCAGATCTACTTGCATTATCTGTGTATAACTGAATTCCTTACAAATATAAAGAAAAACTACTATTTATATGAATATCATATAGTGCTTTTTAGGTATATGCCGGTATTTAGGTTGGTGTCACTGGAGCTTACAGACTTATCTTGCAGACTACAGGCCACAGGTGTGGATTTTCACTCTACATCCCTAGTCTCCCTTTTAAAAAGAGCAGTGGGCACATTACTTGTAAACTGGAAATGGGCTGGCTCGCGCCCTGCAGTTCAGAGAAACTTTCCCTTCCAGAGATTCTTCTGGGTAGATGGTATTGATCGGCTGCTCTTCAAAAATGGGTCCAAATCCTTTGTCTTCCTCAGAAACTGAAACAAAAGTAAGATAGTTTTATATCGTATGCCTTTGGCAATCAAAGAAAATTTGGATATGCCAACGGTATTTCTTTCCCTAAATGTACCGTTCCGAGTGTTTGCCTGCTCACAGCTCCCTCCACACGCTGCAGCCTTTGCATCTGTGCCTTTCTACTTCCTAAAACCATAATCCCACTCTTCTCATCAAAGTTTGTGTAGGACTTGGTGACCTAGCCGTAGAGTTAATTCATCAGAAAGGTACCTCTTTTCCCTCCTGGCTCTGGATGATACCCCGTTGCTCCAGACACAGCCTGTGGTATTTGACACACCTGCTGTGATCTTTGAGGCAAACTTCTGTCCTGCTACATGGCCAGTGCTTGGAGATAGGTGGCTGTCTGTGATCACAATACACAGTCTGCTAGCCAGCTGCCTAGCTGTGTGGAATATATAGGTGCTTAAAGATTTCATAACAAGAGAATGAGTCAATAAAGGGATTCCTAAAAGCTCTGACGAAAACAGTCTCTTTATTGAGCACATTCTTGTTTATTTTTTCCTTACGTAAGGCCAAAGACTTGCTCTCAGTATCATTTGGAACAACATCCAAACAAATTGCACTGTGTATGAGATTTGATGAACTCATCACCAGCACCCAAGTTGGGAAGCCCTTGTCCTGACAGCCTGTCCTCACTGAAAGCAGAAGGGATGGAGAGGCAGGAGCCCTTCATGTGTCATTAGTGTGACAGCATTTACTAAGAGCCACATGCCCCAAATAAACCAGCAGTGATGTGTGTGTCTAGAAAGGAGGAATATTCTCACGTGGGTCACTGGGATAGCCCTGATGGACCAAGCCATGGCTCATTCCCCCAGCTTGCTTTTGTTGTTATTGTGGTGTCTTTGGTTTTATTTTTGTTTTAAAGAAGACAGTCTCTTGTATGTGGGAGACAGGATTGAGCCTAGGGTGAAAGTCTTATTGACAGCCATACAGCAGGCCCGAGGCAACAGCCTGACCACTGGAGCCACAAGGAATGCCTTGTGACATTTTCTCCCTTTGGCAGATGATGAGACTGATGCCTAGAGCTCACCACTCCACTCCCTGATCACCACCCTTGGAATCCAAAATTGCAACACTTAGGGTCTCGTGGTTTCCAGGAATCCAGGCTCTGTAATCTGAAACCCAGTATGCTAATGAGGCATCCTACCCGCTATTCTGTGATAGGACGCTTAAACCTGTTAAGCTAACAAGGAATCTTACTTGCTGTGCTGTGATTGGACCACTACCCCTATATAAGCTTGTGCCTTCCTGCAATAAAGCAGACCTGTATTATTGAACCTGGTCTCCTGCATCTGAATGCAGTGACGCTGGCACAGACTCCTCACCAGCCCTGGGGTCCAGACCGGACGACTGATCAGAGGAATTAAGAAAGCAGGAGAGCGGCCATAGCCGGCGACTACACTTGTAGTCCAAGCTGGCCTCAAACTCCTGATCTTCCTGTCTCCGTTTCCCAAGACCAGCAGAGACCATCACTTCCACAGCCACCATTCCTGGCTTCCCCAGCTTGCCTTTTTAGGAGACAGGTTTAACACAGATGGCACACATCTAACATCAACCTTGGCACTAAGGTCTGTTTTGCTTTCCCTGAACTGTCTCATTGCTATTTGATTCTTACCTCAGCACCACTTACCAATGTGGATTTTTGAAAAATTATTTAATCTTTCTGAGTTTCACTATGACTTAGAATGAAATAGTGATAATAAAATCTCATAAAATTATTGCTGGAATTATTTGGAGACAATTCATGGAAGACATTATACATCTGCTTATAGCTAATAATCAAATGCAGGTTTGTAAATATTCTCATGAATTCACCAATCGTAAAAATTTCACATATATGTATATACATATGCATATATGTATAAAAAGTTGCTTATATTGCTCTTAGACTAGCAACGAAGTTTCTAAGAGACAGAGGCCAAGCAGTTAAGTTGTACTCACATTTTTCTTTCATTTTTTTTAAGACAGGGTTTTATGTAGCCCAGGCTAGGCTTGACCTCCCTATGTAGCTGTGGCTGGCCTTGGACACCTGATCCCTCTGCCTCAATTACAAGTGGGAATTGGCTTACAGCTGTATTCACTTGTACAGCTCTGCAGCGTTAGTATTATGCCGTGTGAGGCACTGAATATGTACATGCTACAAGCATGTGGTTAATAAAGTCCTGAAGTTAGTGTCCCACATTATGAAGCATTAGTTTTTCTAAATTAGTCATGATGCTTCAAAGTAAGTTGCCCATTTTTGAGTGGAACACTGAAATTTTCATTCAGAAACACAGACCTCAGTCTCATTTTGAAACTACCTTGCCATTTCAGGAAGCATATCCACTGTTCACAGAACCTTAGATCTGACTCCAGCAATTTACTTTCCTAGTTGTTGCTTCACACAAGTCATTTGCGCCACATCACTTCCACCTTAATAAAGAACTGAGACAGGTGTCCTAAGGACACCCGGGCCCATCACAAGCCCTAGGTGAGGTTATGAGACAAACATACAGCCTTCTGTTAACAAGCTTGAAATTCTTGATTGTGGCTGTCTTTCATTCTGTATTCTTGAAGTTAGAAAAGACAGAAATTCATATAATGCTTCACTTGTAGTAATTGTATTGATAATGCTAGCTATTATCTGGCTCTTCATGATGCACCACCACATGAGGGAAAATGAGAAAGGAATTTGACTCCTTCAGGGCTGAAAACATTCATTTTGTCCATAAAGCCTAGACTTTCTAAGCTCTGAAAGAAATGGTCATATGCTTATTTATGATAAAAGTCATAAGCTGTTGTTTCCTGTCGGACAACTTCATAAATTTTTTCTTGAGTCGCTCCAAATTTCACAACTGAGCAACACCCTCCGATTTGGAGATCTGCTCTTCTTCCTTGTATGCTTACAAATACTCAAGAGGACCAGCAGAGACGTGCACATTGTCCGTCTAGTCAGCCTCTCTTGTTGAAGGCAGGGTGGATTCTAGTACACTCTACCTTTTGATACATAAGGTTCTTAGAGGGAGCCATTATAATTAGATAAAAACACAAACTCTAGAAAACTAAAAAGAAATACTGTATAGAGGACAATTATGCTCATAAATAGAAACGTCTTAAGTACTTTGTATTAATGTTATAAGTAAAATGATGTTGTCATTATTGTAGCCAATAACCTCTATCATCACATTTAAAGAGAGATGGGTTTGTGGCACAGTTATACATACTTCACAGACATGGAGCACTGGCACGCACTGGATTGCATCTTGGGATTCCACTTTGTACAACCATTCCAGTGGAAGGATGGGGACTACAGTTTGGTGGATTGAAAGAAGTGATATTCTTAGTTCACTCAACAGCTCAACTTGGCCTAGGATCCAGCCATGAGTACTTAGACACAATGTGAAACACATAATTCATGAAAGAAAAGAACAAGTTGTTGAATTTCATTAAAATTAAAATCTCCAGCTGTTATGAAAAACAAAATGTCACGTCTTGGGTCCTCTCCAGCGTACATTCTACAACCAACACACTGGAGCTGGAGACACTGCAGAGCACTGGGTAATGATTTCATTTAATAACGGAAGCTTAGCAGTGAATACATGCGACATTGTACAATCTCATCTTGCAAGGGCTGGCAGCCTTAGCTAAAGCCCCTTTAAAATGGCTACGTTTTCAGAGAGGAAATACTAGATAACTATGGACTGAAGCATCTGCTTCAGCAGGTTGTCTTCTGATGAAGCTGACTTTAAGGAGGGTCATAATCAGAATTCTCCATTAAGTTTATAATTTCATTTTGAGCTAAGGTGAGTTGTGCTTATTAAATATTGCCTTGATTATTTAAAGTAATGAGTGGCATTTTCAAATGCAATCATTAAAGATCCACAAAAGGCATTTTTATATAGAGATCAGTTAAGAGATTTTTGTGCTTTAAATAATAGTCTTAGATATTTATCTGAACTATGTTTCTTCTGATTGTGAGGCAAATGCTTTCAAGATTAAAACTGAGAAGGTATTTTGAGTTTGTTTTGGCCATATAGTTTTTAGAAACTTCTTTTCTATATAAAGGGTATCTATAAAGAAACTTAAATTGAAAATAGAAACTAAAAATGATGAACTAGCTCAGTTAGTAGGTTGCTTGCCTGGCATGCACAGAGCTCTGATGTCCAGAACCGAATAAACTGAGCATGGAGGACACACACGTAACCTCAGCATTCCTGAGGCAGAGGGAGAAGGACCAGAAGTTCAAGTTTTTCCAACACAAGGAAGGAGTTTGATACCAGCCTGGATACATGAGATAATATCTCCAAAAAATAAAAGAAAAGAAAGAAATGGAACTTTATATGCTAACTGTGATGAGTCTATAGCTATTGATATATTGATGATATATCTATATATCTATATACACACACACACATATATGTGGAGTAGTCAATTCTTCAAAGACTAAATGCAAATACTGAGCAATTTGACATTGTTTTAAGTTTTATGTGTCAAACAGGAAAATATTATTGCCATATTTTTTTTCTTCTTAGTTGGCAAAATGTTTCACAAATTATGCATATTTATTTTCCAATCCTCCACTTCTAACTTTTATAGACTTTAAGCTCACAGGGTGAAAAATGTGAAGCAAAATTATTTTTCAAAAGGAAAAAAGCACAACGAAGACATTTCTGTTTGCCATTTCCTCAATCAAAAAGCCAGACAGGACTCACTTGACAACACGTTCGTGTTTCCAGGAAATATCGTTTAACAAACACATGCAACAGGTATTTCTAAAAATTTCCATCCTGAATGAAATAATAGATTCTATGTGGCAGCTTATCTATTACCCTATGTATTTAATTTAGGGAACTTAAACTGGTCCTAAAAATATCAGTTCCTTTAAATAAGCACTTGCCTTGCATTGCCTTGTGTGGTAGTTGGAATGAAAAATGTCCCCAAGGGCTCATGTATTTGAACACTTGGTCCCCTTCAAGTGACGGTG